GCCTGCCAGGTACTTAGCGGAAGCTAAAAACTAACCCCCAGACCATTCACTGCAGTGCACTCAAAATTTTCCACATGTACCATGTCACAAGTGCAGACTGTACAATGAAAGCAAACGCCTGCTGCTCGGGATTCTCATTTTATTCATAATCTAAGAAAAAGCCATTGCAGATTAATTGGCTGACAGCAGTACAGGGTAGCCGCTGTTTATAACTGCATGTGAGTGCGTCTCAAATGTGCATTTCACCCTTCAGAAATAGGATCAGCTTCTGACAGCACAAATGTTGCAGGCAGTCCTGGAGGGGAGAAGAGCAGAATTAGCAGGAAGAAGGAACTGGGGTATTTACGATCCCAGGCATTATCCAGAGTCTCCCCCTGCACAGGCAGTGGGTGATGGACAAGAGAGAGAAAGCGGGGGCTGGCGGATATTTTCTGCCCTTGCCCTCTGCAGTTTGCTGACATTGTGAGAATCTTGGAAACTGGCTGCTGAGTGCAGCAGGGAGACATGGCTCTTGGTGGGTTTCCTTTCAATGAAGAGTTTTCATGAGAACTTTTGATTGTTTTGCATTACCCAAAGCACAAGGGCTTCTCCTGGCAGAAGAAACAAATTGGCACAGTGCTGCTTTTTTTTTTGTTAATCTGTGCTGAGATCAAGGGCAAGGGCTTCATTTTCCAGCACTAGTCATAAGCCTTTAGCACAAATAGAATGAAAATTATCTGTCGCTCAGGCAGTTGGACAGGGTTCAGGAAAACTATGTCTGGCACTATTTCCAAAGTGGAGGTTTGGTTCAATTCAGCACCATTAATTTCAGTAAACTGTTTTCACTTGTCTGGATCCCACTGTTCAAGAGCTATTTTTCTGTTTCTCTAAAGTCATGTCTTCAGTTGTACAAAACAGTGCATAACACCGTATGGGCAATATAGGGATGGGTATGGAGGGATTGTTACAAACTTCTGCTTTTCTCTTTCTTTTCTTATGTGCTGCTTTTTCTCTGACCCTCTCCCACTACAAGACACAGAGATAATGACAGACAGAGGGACACAAAGAATAGCGCAGTGAGACGGAAAGCCCGGAAGGAAACCCATCAGCACAAGAATGAGAGGTTTCCCCCAAGGCAGGAGGATAGGTGTGCTGCTTTCTCAGCTTGCAGCTATCCTAGGCCGGCTTCTTGAAACTGCGGCTTAATTCACTCAGGCAATACTGTCTAAAAGTAATACGTCAAGACAGTTAATTTTGGCACTTGATCTCCCTTAGGAATTTTACCAGCAGTCTTTGGAAAGAAAGTAAATGATCCTTTTTCCCCTCTCCCCTTTCCCCCATAGCTCATCTTGGAACAAATCCAAATAACAGTAAAGCGCTTCCTCCGCTCGCCTGCTCCTACCCTCCTATCCCTCCTAAACATCCTCCTTTCAATAGTCCAGTGTTAACCAGCATTTATAACAGGGACAGGGGAAATGTGCTTTAGTTCTCTCAAATGGCCTAGTTACAGTGGGAAAGGAGTTTCTAGCTTGAAACATGATTTTAAACATTACAATTCTTTCTTTCTCTCTTTCTTTCTGTCTCTCTTTCAAATTTGGCTTTTCCCTCTCCTCCTTCCCACCTCCCACTATTTTTTTTTTTGAAAACACAGTAAAGTTTTGTTCAGTTCTCAAGTGTTATTAATCACTGGTGGAGGCCAAAAGCTGGGATATTTTTCTTGGCAGCACGTTTTGATAAACAATCTGTGTATGAGGTGAAGGGAGGGGGAGGCTGTCTTGCTGGTAACTAAGCTAATGTTTGGCAGATTCTTAACTGTCACGAAAGTGCAAGTGGCTCTCAGTGGGAATAGCCTAAAAAAAAAAAAAAGAACCGATTCAGTTGATTCATTATTGTTGATTGTTTACTACGTCCCCAGGATGTAAGCTGAATACAGTCAATGAGTAAAATAAAAATAACAACAGTGGCAAACGCAGGCTCACAAGAGGTGCCGTCCAGCAGTCACTAGGCTCTTTCAGAGCAAACAGAAATAATGACGGGTGTCTAATTTTGCACTGTAAGATTTGGCAAATGTGGGCACCTGGAAATCTGGGCCCACAGATTATTTTAAAAAGCCATAAATACAGTTGTATGAAAAGTGGTTGGAATGGGCCTGTCAAGGGAAGCAGGGCTGCTTTCTGGGGAAGAAGTGGGACTTTTGCATGGTTTGGGGGGAAACCAAGTTACCTATTTTGTACACTGGGATCACATAGTTAGCAGTAAAAGGGCCCCAGACAGACAGACGGACCCCCTTGCAAGCCCTGCTCTGTGTTGGCGAAAGTGATTGTGCAGGCGTCCACGCAGAAACAGCACTGTGAAGAGAAAAGAAAAAAAGAAAATTAGCAGTGAAACCTCCTAGAAATAGAGCACAGG